ATCGCTTATCGATCGGATATATTCAGCTTCACGTGCGCTTTGACATATTGCTATTTACCTGCCGTCAGATGTTTGTATTATCTAACGCGAGAGCATCACGATGATTCTATGCATATTTCTATTATAAGTCGCGAAATGCATCGGTAACGAGATATTATAATTACCTTCATAATTACAACATGTTCTATAATCGGTAGTACAATGCATAGTTAACGAAGAAATTTAATACGCCGGTGATGTGCTGTTATAATACTACGGCGAATGTGTGGTTATCGTACAGAAGTTTGCCAGAATGAGGCAGAGGGGGAGAGGGAGAGAGAGAGAGAGAGAGAGAGAGAGAGAGAGAGATGTGGAATTTGATCTCATATATATGGAATCAGTCGCGTGTATGAGGATTCGTTTTACTTAACTATTATAATTATCAGGCCGTGAATAGATAAACATCTTTTATTGATCTGTTTACAGTTTGATGTCCAGTAATTTATAATAAAGTAAAAGAAATTTAATTATAACAAAAAAAGATAAAAGAAAAGAATTATCTCTCTGTAATCTTTGACGAATTATGGAGTTTGCCGTAAGGTATTGAGAGTCAAAAGGTACGGTAACATCCGCGTTAAAGTTTTTTGCAACTTATACCGTTGACAAGCGCGTACTAAGTAGCCGATAAGCCAGGGCGGTTACGAAAATCCCTCGAGTCACCTCGAGAACTTCCGAGTCTCACAACGCGGCACCTTATCAATAATCAATCGCTATTTCTGCGCTCTTCTCGGTCGCATTAACGAAAATTTCGATCGATCGATCTAGAGAGAGAAAGAGAGAGAGAGAGAAAAAGAGAAAAAAAGAGAAGTAGAAAAACGAGATAGATATAAACGAAAGAATAGCGGAAACTGCAGTTGCACTTTCTCAGATCAAATAGTGTAAACGGACGAATATGCTAGGGGAATTTCGTTATCCACGACTCTCCATATCCGGGTGAAATTTTATTGGGAGGAGAAAGCAATTTCTTTTTTTTTTTTTCAATAAAGTGATATACATCATCTTCGATGGGAAAAGGAGTCGATAAATCTCCCATTCACGGACGTCAAAGGAATGATTGATCAAATTTCTTTGTTGCGAAACGCGAAACCATTCCGACAGATGATTTAAGGAATGCATTTATCATTGTTTCACTCGCGATTCGGGATACTGGATGGGTATCTTTAAAATTAGCGATTGAAACCGGATATTTGTAATTAATCGGAACCGGTATTGCCGCGAGCTCCGTTGTAATTTGAATACTCAACAATTCGGAAAATTAAATCCTGTATTTTTGTGTAGAAACGATTTTATTTGATATATTAAGGGGAGGGAATTTCGTGTTATTTAACATTATTTTATCGCGTGATATCCGTTATCAGAAGCTTGTGTTTCATCGAGATATTCCTACTCGTCAAACCTAATGTTTCACGTGTAACGGCCTAATGTGAGGATTATCTTAGAACGGTATCCTGAGCGAGCGCACTATCGGCGATTGGCGCATTCACGTCGCACCTCACTTGATTTCCTGTTTGATACTTGATTTCCTAGGTAGCTTAAATACAAGATTTAGTCTCATCAAACGCGTCGTGTGAATTACCCTAATGGACGCACGTATAACGCAACAGGAGACAGGTTTGGTATTGCCTATCGAAAGATAATCAGATTGGATTAGTACATGGATTATCAAATTAAATAGATTATCTTACCATGTCTGACACTAAAAAGATGCACGGATGTAAGAAATTTATACGCAAGATGTGCAAATGCATAATGCACATGAAAAGGGAAAGAACGAGTAAGTGCTAATAATGAAAATTGACATTAATTCGAGATCGTGCAACTCTCACGAAAGTAAAGAATTATTATAATAAAGACTTTCTATTAAAAAATCAATAGCTACGCGACATTTTTAGTAGTATAATAATGTTCATATTTTCGTATGGCTACATTTGGATTTTGTTTTTCTGAATGCAATACAGAATTCTAAATCAATGTTACGCAACTGAGCCTCCAAGACTTACAATTATTAGTCGCTTGATCTAGTTGCGATAAAAAATTATATCTGAGAAGAAGCGTAGAGATGCTCCTTAATCGAAAATAGAAGCTAAACAATTTTCCCCGTGCGCAAAAGAAAATAATTTAAGTCTTGTGATAGTTATTAAGAAAGAGCATGTTCAATTCTGACGGGTGGGTTGAAATTCAATGAAGGAGTTTTGCTTTTCGCAAAATTCTGGATGTTTGTTTTTCCTCGCGGTAAGATATCGAAGGAAACAGAGCAACGGTAGACCTGCTTGAGAAGATTAGCTGTATGCAAAGGGGAACGGGAAGCGTGCTGTTGAGAGAAGAAAAGTGTTCGCTAAGTGCACGTGAGAATTGCGTCGAGCAATTGCGAAGCATGTAACATGACTACCGTGCTGAGAAAACAGAAACCGAAATAAAAGTAACCGCTGGAAACACGTAAGTAATAGTTTCGCCGATAGATAAAATAAACCTGATAAAACGAACGGATAGCCGATGCGCCGTCGATGCCGACCTTTATTTTTCCTTTGCACGCCTCAAGAATCGACTGTAATAAAACACGAGAGAAAAACAGAAATGAGATTGGGAAATACAGCGAGGGAAAGTGGAAGAAGCGAGAAGCGAAAGTCCGTCTCTCGAGTCTTTCTTGCGTTTCCTTCTCGATCAGAAATATCTCGCTGTCGCTAATATTCCTAATTTTATTTGACTGAAATAAGATTGAGGAGAAGTTCATGTAAAACTCAGGCTCTATAATTTTTTTATAATGGTAAACAGCAGATATAAGTAGTATATGAATATTTTATTTATTTCAGTTAATAAAAAATTGGCGCACCAGATCTGGATTGTAAATTGCGAATAAATGTTTCATCTTTAAGTATCTCCGCGAGGGGCTGTAACTTTTCACATGTACATTTACACACGCGCAACAAACAATTTCACTACGTTAATCTAATAAACCGAGCATATATCGACTTTTCAATTATTAACTTCTCCATACTTCAAGAACTACTGAAATAGTATCAAGTTTTTTTAAAACCTATGACCTATACCATTAAATCATAGAATATTTTTTTCTTAGCTCTTTCTTCGATGACTTCTTCTTTCATAAAACTTTACGTAAAAATAACTAAGAATTATGGAATTAAAAAATGTGTGTGTACGCGCGCGCGCGTAATTTTAATTCTATAATCTAATTTAGATCCAATAAGCGATAAACCGATACAATCATTCTTGCAATTATCTCATAAAATATTTTCAAAGTTGACGTTTCATTCTGCGCGTATAACTAGAATTTTCTAAAGATAAAGATATCGGTTGACAATATCGACATTTTAGCTAAATGTGTGATAAATAAATTAATCTTTATAATGTTCATTTAATTGTGCTGTGAATTATGATCGTATTTTAATTATATCGTATTACGCGTATTGCCCTTTAGGCACATACGTGCTCTCAAATAAATTACATCCACATCTATATAATTTTCAATCTATCAGACGTTAACGGATACGCTTGATTATTCATCGGAAGGAAATAGTTGAATGTGCTTGCGCGCATAGTGGAACGATAGGTAACTGCATCGTCGAAGTCAAAGGGGCTTTTGATATCCTGACCACTGATCGGTCCTTCAAAGAGGTATTCGACGTTTATCGCCCTTTCCCGTAATACGCGATTCTACTTTCGCATTTATGACGATCCCCTCGTGCATGCTAACGTGCATCCGTTGTTATTCTCGCGCTGTAAGATTTTTACAGGATTCGATGTTCTCCTGATATTTTATCACTGAGGGATATTAAATCAGGGTATTCGCGAAACACTATTCATAATCGTTGCTTTAGTGTCGTCTCGAAAGTGTATTGGATGAAATATTCAGAATAAAATTTATGTACGATATTTATAGCCATTGTATATATGCATCTCATATTAAAAAGCATAACACACACACAGATAAAATATCAGGACCAAGTTTCACACTTGAGACACAGACGATTCAATAATTACATTTTAATAAAAGAACAATTGTTAACCGCAAAAAATAATTATAAATAATTGTTTCTGCAAGTAAGGAAATGAAAAATAATAATTTACTTATCCTAGTTGTTTCGTCGTCGTTGTTCCGAAGCTTCCCAGGCTTTCTCCTCCTCCTTCTTCTCTCGAGTTTGTTCGTTGCGCTTGCAGTGCTTGCACAAAGTAACACTTACGAAAACACGGTTAATTACGATTGTGCCTAATCATCAAAATAGAATAATTGCACGGCACTTTCGACGTTAATTACACGCGACTGACGCGACGAGCACTTTACTATTACATATTGTGACAGAATCCTATCTCAGAATCCTCCAAAAGTCGATCCGTTTCAAACGTGCAACGTTATGATTGAGAAATTAACGACATTCTAATCCACATCCTAAAAAAGTGATGAACAAACTACAAATTTAGATAAGTGAAACCGCACGTCAAAGCGCAATGCAGGATACGTTTGAATCTAATCGTACAAATAAATTATAATATCGCTCACGTAAATATTTGTCATAAAATAATAATCTGTAATTCCTATCCCTTATTGTCTCAATATTGTGATATGAATAAATTGCGCGAGATACTTGCTTCGATACAAGACAATGCATTTATAATCGTTAATCACGAAAGTTAATTAATCGCGAGTCTGTTGATTATTCATAGAAAATAATTGTGATTCGATAATGCGACGATATATGTACGGAACGGTATTTGCGCCGCGACTTGCTGTCTTGCGAATACGATAATACACGGGCGGCCGTTCTTTTGTTACATTGTACATCATATAAAAGCTGTAAAATTTTTGAGAGATACATATATATTTTACGTTTCGTGTGTAATACACGCGCGAGTGAGAAACACGTGCATGAACAGCACGTATTAAAATTTAGAGTGTATATTCAAAAATTATTTATTATTCAAAGTACGTATTTGTTAAAGTAATTTTCAACACATTTTGTATCATGGCGTTTTACAGGGACGTACCCAACCCTTTACACATATACCCGTGACCCAACCTGGCCATATGCGACCTAACATTATATTTCTTTTCCCCTCCCTTTTCATCCGGCACGCATCTGTCACTCTCCCTCCGTTTTCTCCAGATCCGCATCTCTCTGACTTTCTCCTTCCTGGCGGGCCTCTTCGCTTTTGGCCGGCTTTCCCCCACCTTGCGTTCGGCGCTTTCCTTCCTTCTTTCACTGTCCTTACTTTTCTTTCTTATCATCTTTCTCCTCGCCCGACTCCATCATCGGACTCTCCTTCATCCTTTTCGTAATCTCGTCCTTCTCAGTTTTCTTCAAACTCCCGCTCTCCTCCTCTCTTCTTTCTTTTCTTCTTTTATTCTCCTCTCTTTCTCTTTCCCTTGTCTCCACCGATTTATCTTCGTCCATTTTTACTCTTAATCTACTCCCTTCCTTTCTCCTTGCCACCAAAACCTTCCACTTATCCTCCTCACTCCTCATTTTTACTAATATCGTTATCCAGTCCCCTCTCACTCCTATCACAATTACTTCTTTTACCTCCACTTTCACCTTTAATCCATCCGCAAACAATTCCTTCACCTTCTCCCAATTTGATCCCTCTCCTTCCCATCTTTTCTTCTCAACCCTTATTATCACGTTGTTCCTTCTCTTCTCGTTGTCGCTCCTTTCCAACTCCTCCGCCCACCATTTCTTCTTACCAGTCTTACTCTCTTCACTATCATTCCTCTTCCTTTTGCCTCCGCTCTGTTCCATCCTATCCACCTTTTTTTTCAATCTCTCTATCTCCTCCTTCATCTCCTCTTCTCTTCTTTTACATTCCTCGTTAACTTTCTTTATCATCTTCCATACTTTTTCTTCCACTATCTTTTCCACCGCCTCCTTCTCTATTATTATCTTCGCTCTGCATTCCATCCTTCTTTGGTTATCTGTAACACGCACATTTACATAATTACTCTCCTATCCTTTACTCTGTTTTCTCTCCCGCCCCCCTCTCTCCCTCTGACCTATCACGCTTATCTCTTTCACCTCTACCTTTACCTTTAATCCTTCCGCAACCAATTCTTTCAATAATCGCCGTACTTTCTACTATTGTTCGCTTCGTCTCAAAGCTCGCCCGCTCTATTGCCACCACGTGCGCTTCTTGCATGTTCACCTCGCTCTCTATCGATCCCTTCCCTCGATTTCTCGATCTCGCCGCTTATCCGCCGACACACGTTGCGAAGACGCGTGTTGCGCATCCGCCTTACTTTTAATCTTTTCTGCCGCTTTCGCCTCTTGTGCCATATTTAAAATTTTATATAAAATCCGATTGTGTCGAGAAACAATTTTGAGAATTTGTATCACATTCGGGAAATCTAACATGTAATTCATATAAAGCACATTTATCCGCGTAAATAATACATACACAAAGTCGGCGCGGCCAAGTCATTGTATTATCATTCGCACGACGGCTTTCGAACAAACCGGTAGTGTCGCAAGTCGCTCCGTATATCGTCTCGTTATTCCATCCCGAAATGCGATTGTTTCTTACGAATTAACTTTCATCGATCCGCGTGATTAATTTTGTGTGGCGTCTTATTATTTCTCGAAACGCGACAAACACTGTGAACAAACGCGATCATTCTCCAGAGATCAGATAATGCAAATATATAATATAACGATTTGTAATCGAATTGTAAGTAATTACGTAATTGAATGCTGTGATGAAGTGATTATTAATATTACGTGTATTTAGCATTTATCTTGAAATGTACATTACACGTGTAATATTTTAAAATGACTCGCGTGATACTTGACGGTGTCCAAAGAAGTCAACCGTCAGCCTACCCCTATATACCCCTACCTCTACTCCCTCATCGCGGCTGAGTCATTGTGTTATCATTCACACGACGACGTTCGAGAAAACAGGTAGCGTCGCGAGCCGCTCCGTATATCGTCTCATTATTCCATCCCGAAACGCGATTGTTTCTTACGAACGATTAACTTCCATCACTCCGCGTAATTAATTTCGTGTGACATCTTACTATTTCTCAAAACGCGACAAGCACTATGAACAGACGCGATCTCTAGAATTTAGATGATTAAAGAACGGATAACGCGGATATAATATAATAATTCGCTGTAAATAATTACGTAATCGAATGCTGTAATTACATATATTTTGCATTTATCTCGAAACGTATCGCACATACTATTATTCAATTCTGGTTATATATTTATGGACTATTCGATGAGTCTTAATTAATCATTTAATTGACTAGCGTGACACTTCGCGGAATGAAAAGCTGTCGACGTGATCACCGAGGTTTTCGGTTATTAACAAAACATCGCGACAACGAAAAGGATTGAGCGGCGATAATTATTTCCTTGGTCGGATTGGAAGATACCCTGTAACGCATTTTGAACTGTTATCTTAAATGTAATTTGATTATCTGATACTGACAACACGAAATAATATACAAATCACGGATTGAATCATTAGAGTAACAAGAAACTGCGTATCCATTATTAAGCCGTTGAGGTCACACCTCCTAAAAGTAACGTAGAGGTCACATGGGGTCCAATGGACCCCACAACAGTTTCCACTTGCGTTCTTTTTGATGTATCGACTCAAACCTTGAACTGGAATTAATATATGACTATTCCTCTTGATAATCCAATAATTTAAAAAAAACTTTTATGTTGAAAAAACGCAAGGAAAAATTTTTTTTTCTCGAAAAATTTGACTTTTTTCACAAAAATATTTATCAAAATTTTTTGAGATAGAGCAAAAAAACTCTGTGCGTTTTACTCTCAAAATAGTACACTTTAAAAAAAAAATAAAACAAAAGCCTGGGGTCCACTGGACCCCATATGACCTCAACGGGTTAATAATTATAATTTAAAGTTAAATTAAAATTGAGATTAAAGGAGAAACAAAATATTTAACGTACATGTATTTTATAATAAAAATTTCAATATTTTGTCTCGGCAAGACCAGTAGGCATGCGGTGTTTTGTTGCTGTATTACGTTCACAAGTCACAAGGCTACCGCGTGTATTTACACAAGAGTGCCGCACGATACGTGACATTTGTGCGACGAGACTCGAATCGGCAGAATGTTCCATGTGCTACCGCGCATTATTAAAACGCAATCGTGCTAACAATAAGTATCACAAATCACCAAGCGCAAACATTGATAACTGTCGGTCAGTGCAATTAATGAACTCCTGCGATTAACGGCCTGCAGACGCAACGGCTATTTGTCGAAGCAAATATTTCGCGAGATTTATTCCGACATTAAAACGATATGAGTTGAAAGTTATAAACTTATTGTTTCGTGCTATTTATTTCGGGCTATATTTTTTACCTTAAAGATTCTTAAATTCGAAAATCTGCATGTATCTCGCGTCGCGCTTTGAATCTTTCGTCGATAAATATAATTTGTTCACAATACGTTGAGAGTGTGGAGTAACAGTCATATTGAGTAATTTGAATAATGAAAAGCCATAATTATTTCCGGTCGTTTATTAATAATACTTACATCTCGTTAAATTTATGTAGTTGAAATATATCACGCACTAAATTTCAATAGTAAATTTTCAAATAATCTATCGCGCTTAATTAGCCAAAATTTTGTTAATAAACTTTGAATTATATCGTATTATATTAGGATTGTCGATATTATTTTTTAATTTTTTGTTCATTAACGAAACGTACATTGCTTGTACGAAATGAATACAATCAGTTACAATTGACTGCAATGCAATGACTAATGACTATAATTCAAATACATAAATTATTTATAAATACATAGTCGTAATTAATTCTATATTGTAGTATTTATTAACCACGCATATAACATAAATTCGGAGCTTTTACATCAATTTGTTAAGAGCTTCCGCCGTTTGAGATTTGTCTGTTGCGTTGATTTACGAAATATCGCAAATCGTAATCTTCTTTCGCATTATTTTTACTTCTCAATATACAGTAATAAAATACATCGTGTGCATTTAGTATCGAGAGTATCGTATAAAATGCAGTACGAAAGATTATTGTTTAGGATTATCGTAATATGCTAGTAATTAGCAGCATAGATAGGGCCTAAGCAGAATGGCTGTCTTGGCAGTGTTTTATGCCTTAAGTAAGTCTTTGTCTTATGTAACGCACAATGCTGTACAGTATTGTGCGTCTTATGTAACGCACAATACTGTACAGCATTGTGCGTTACATAAGACAAAGACTTAAGGCATAAAACACTGCCAAGACAGCCTTTCTGCTTAGGACCATAGTGTATACGCGTTTATGATTTTGAATGTCGTGCGAGTGCCACAAGAAACAAAAAGGGATAGAAAAACAGAAAAGAAAAAACCTTGGAAAAGCATCAAACGACACGTATATATAACCATAGAGTGAGTAACGTATTACTATATTATTTTAAATTAACAATAAGATTATGAATATAGATAAATTTCATAGATTTATTATATTAAAATAAATAAGCTAAAATAGATTAGTAATAATAATAATTTAATTTTGGAATACGTATTGTCATACTTATCATATTTATGCATTTATTATGTATGTGAAAACGCACAAACACATGGAATTCATTACATCGATGCATAATTTATTGGCTTATATCGGATATCTTGTTATATAATAGGATTTAATCATGAGATGTATCAGAGAGTATCTCATCAACCAAAATTTATAGATCAAATTTGCAAATGTTTATCTTGCGTTCTATATACAGGCAAGATTTTCGAGAAATTATGATGTGTGTATTAATAATCTTATTCGACAAAGTTAAATTAAACTTATAGTTTATTAAAGGTTGGAGTGTAGTATTGCTAGTAAAAGAAAAAGAAAGCTATACTAAATAAAATATGGATGTTTTTAGATTTTTAGAATATTAATATTTCTTTAAGTGTTTATACACGATAAAGATGACAATAGGATGTTTTTTGTGTAAAATGAAGTAATTATTTTGTTTCTCACAATCAGCTGAGTACACTCTCATTGTCAGTTGATTTCTAATCAAAATATAATGTTGAATCGTCCGAGATATAAAACTTTATTCCGAGTATCTCATCTAATATGTTTTGAGACAAAATTCATGGAATAATTGCTTACTAAAACTTGCCTTTAGACAATTTATAATTTGTGTTAGAATTCAGGATAGAGAGAATTCTATTAGTGAGCTTTAATAATAAATGTTCAACTCAATATTTGATTGATATGACATTAAATTACGATCTATTTTTACATATATTTATTTACATATATTTACATGTTCTTCGAATTCGAGAAATAGAACTCAGATTGAGGATTTTGAAACATAAGACAAATACATTAAAGATAAATTTTACCTGGGCTTCTCTCACAATCAGTTGAATTGTGACATTTAAACAATTATGACGAAATTAATATCAAATTGATCTGTTTATTAAATCGTGTCACATTTAATAAAGCAGTTTTATCGAACTCTTTGGCTGAAATTGTAAATGTGGGCCTTAAACATGTATGACGGAATTGTTGGCGAACGTGAGGGCAAGACCGGCCGAAGTTATAAAGGACGAGCTTTGGAGTGAACGAAATTTTCATTTGACCATCAGACTGCGGTCATCACATACCTACATACATACGTATGTGATGGTACACGCATCCGCGCGCACGTGTGTCCCCGAGACGCGGAGTGTGCGTATCGCGTGAGGGTGCGGAGAAAAGGGTGTACCTCTACTGCCATTTGAGAGTATTATTGCGGTGCTGGCCGGTTGGCGACGGGCGAACGAGAGATATATCAGCGGGTTGGCGTTTATGTGGCGACCAACTGTCGAGTTAATATTCACGCGATTCGGGGCTGACCCTCTCCTCCCTTCATTCTCCTCCTCCTCCGTTCCGTATCCTCGTTCCGAGCACGCGTCGACGACGTCGCGAAATTCTCGATTTCAACCCCCCGACCTCCCCTCTTTTCTCACCCCGGGAGCCGGTTGCTTTGCCGTAACAACTCCCTTGCAAATATCCTCTCACGCGAAATTTAGTATGTTAGGTACATTAGAATTAGAAAATTCTAATTACAATTGTTTTTATACAGATGATTTGTGAAATAACAGATAAGATAATTGAATTATTACATCATATCTACTATTTTTTAATCAATAAAATTTCTAGTCTTTAAACTTTTAAATATTTATTTTGCACTAATTTTCATCGTTTTTTATACGGCTTTTATATCGTCACATTTTCTAATTAGTCGGTTTGTTTATGTTACTTTGAGTTTTAGTGACGAGAATGCACACGAACTTTTCTATCTTTGATCTCGTAGCTTGCTTATTTGTGAATTAATATATTGCATTTTGAAAAATATAAATAAAAACGTAATTGTTCTTTCTGTTTCAAATTTCTGTATCGACATTTTTCTTTTCTCGTTTTTTTTTAATTATTTATATCACCTATTTTTTACATTTGTAAATTATTGCCTATTGATGTGGAAAAGAAATCGCACAACTGAAAATCACTGTAATTTATATTCAAAACATTCTGACCCAAAGTTAATTGTTTTATTTTTAATAAAAGGATTTTTAATGCACGACTCGCATTGGCCTTATTTATTAATTTCTATTCACATTAATTGTAAATCAACGAACAGTAAATTTTACTGCGAATGAATTATTTACTTGCGCAAAGCTATAAATATTAGTACTTCAAATAACAATAATGAATAAAAAAAATTTAAATAAAGGCCTTTAGTTTGAATGTGATTACTAGGCTTGTTTACACTTGACACAGTGCTTCACTTTGACGTATTTCGCGCTTTTTGTTGCAGGACGTATGGCGTATGGCTTACCTTATGGCATGGCATCGCGGAACTTCGCACTGTGCGCCCTTATTGTCGTCTTCCTCTACACCAGTCTCGGTAAGAGTCGAATATACCGCTTCGATAAGGTAAGTATTTCCGTGATGCGCAGATCCTTGCGAGAAACAGGAAAAAAAAAGAGAAAATTGTCCGGGGGAGTTGCGAGGAGAAGCAAAAGTTACAAGTTTTTAATTCGCACGAAATGACAGAATATACCCTTCTCCTTCCCTTCTACACAGGGATCGCCGCGACTGGTATCGTGCCCGTTATACTTTTGTGCCGCCTTTCTTTGCTCCAGTTACGATAAGAATCAAATAGAATCCTTCTCCGAAGACGTCGCTATCGGTAGCCTCTCGCGAGAGCTTAAAAAGAATCTCCGCTTAAAAAGAAGCAGGAATTGCAAAGTAGCACTGTGGCACAGGCCGCCGACTTCTCTCCCGCCTCGGAAAACGAAACGGGCTCGCGTACTGTATCGTTATGCTTATTTATTTATTACCGCTGTTCGTTTATCGCATAACTGTAAATTATGAAATTTTTTTAGAAAAATAATATTTAATCTTGAACTTACAGATATTTATATGAATAGAATTATATTAGAACGAAAAACGTGAAGAAATTTCAATAGAATTTACGAATGCACGATTAAAACCGATCATTCCTTGTGAAATTCATTTGCGGAACATTGGATTTTTATAAGATAAAAAAATAATAAAAGTATATGTAAAAAACATATTAATATGATTCATGTAGATCTTGAAAATGTCGACCTTCTTATTATTCAATATCTATTTAGATTCCTCTTTAATTTGAAGTTGAATGTTCGGTCGATTTCTCATTACACAGCAGATGCAAATCACAATGCATAGGTCGTCGAGTACTCGACTCGCATGTGCGGACCTGCGGACCAACAAAAATATTACCTCGTCTTCAGGGTAGCCTTTCCACGCGATAGATCATGATAGATGATGATTACTCCACAAGTCAGCGAACTTTCGCTTAGGCATATTCCACATGATTAATAAACACTCCGTTTCTCGTGAAATTTTCCCCCCTTTCCTTCGTGCTCGCGTGATCGTTTCAAGCTAAGTTAACCAAAAAGGATACAGGAAGAATACGTCTTCCTTTTTTTTGTTTTACCTATTAGATTCCATCCTGTTATGGCGAGGATGATCAACGCGAGACTCCCCTGCGCGAAACGTCACTTCGAATTGGCATCCGCCACGCGAGAACGCGAGGGGTGAATATCGTGACGTGCAAAGGTTACGGGGTCCATAAGGGTTCGACGCGGTTAATCAAAACTTTATTATGCAACGCACTGACTGTCTTATCTGCATATTGCATAATAAATTGTACGACAAATCGTTTTAAAAGATTTATATGATAATAATAAAGTAAAGAAAGCATATTAAAAAATTATAAAATGTTACAGTCAGTATATATTCGCATTTCGTATGCAATAATGAATAAAAAATACACATTTTTCTCTATTGTATTAAAACAATGAAATATGTGTAAGCACGCTAAAAGTAAATTTTCATTAAAAATTAACGTTCTTCGGGTCATGATTCGTATAGGGCGGACACTCCAGTGGTAATAATCACAAGCGCGACGCATAGAAAGAATTATGATTATCGCGCAGTGACATGGTTGACCGGTCGCTCGTTACATACACAAGTAACGCGGCGATCTAGATTAAATTTTGCTCGCGCGGCACAAAAAGATGATGGGAATTCTTGTATTTGGGGTTCACCGAAATTTCCCTAACGCGCCGTCCATATATCATATTTGTAACGGCGGCGTATCGACGGCAAGTTGGCCGCGCAGCTAATTAAGGATTAACTTCGCTGATCGTTTTAGCCGTAATCGCTGGCGCATAATCGTTAATTGCATAATTCAGGACAAACGCCACCTAAGTCCGAGGTCCTGCCCGAATTTCTGGCGCTCTTGGAAAATCACACGGTCACTCAAGGTCGCGACGTCTCCTTCACCTGCGTCGTTAATCATCTCCAGTCTTACAAGGTAAATGTACTCGTGCTGCTTGCGCGCATGTTGTAATTAGCTAGTCGATTAGGGCCACTGCTCGAAATAGTAAGTAGTGTGGCCTAGATCATATATTCGCTTAATATACCGGATGCAGCCTAGACGGATTGTATTGTCGAGTAATTGCTATGTAACCGCGTGAAACCATATGTTCCACCGCTCGATTATTATTAAACGAGTATTATCGAGCACGTGTCTCGGGCAATGGTCATTCAAAGCGCTCAATTGCGAAGCAATGTGCTGCCATTTGGCTTTAAATACATAAGTTAATTCTGCCGACTTTAATTCTGCAAGGAAGAAGCAAAGAGTTAATGAACGGTAATAACATATTAATAAGAAATATCGCCAGAGCAAAAGAGAAGACCAAAATAATTGAATATTTTATTATCATTAAACTCTTTTGTATATTAATTATATTCCTTTCTCTTAGGTAAGATGTTAAAAAATGTATAAAGATTTAAGAAAGTTTTAAATTATATTTTCTAAAATTTAATTTGCGCAGATTTGTTCTATTTGTCTAAAAGTCAATTTTACCGCAAATACGATATCTTATATGTATATATATTAGTTGTCAGCAACGATATTACGTTACGTCATGTCATAACAGAAAAGAAAACAATTTACACGTAAAGAGATAACTTAGCTCTCGTAAAAGTGTCAGACGTGCACAATACATCTACTTTTTCGATCGGTGTTTCTTGAAATCCTAAGGGAAAAGCCGCGAGCGACGCTACAAATGTCAAGATGTTTTCCTTGAGATCTGCATAGCGAAACAATGCAAATCAAGCGAAACCATCGAGTATTCGATGCATCTTCCAACGACAGAAAGACAAAACTGGAAGAACGTATTGAGACAACGAATAACATCGTTTTCGTATCAGAAAAACTATCTATTCCGATTGAACGTAGTGCATGATCGTATTATACTATGCTGTTTTCTCCATTCATAATATTCTTTCACCTCAATAATTCAGATACACAAAGATCGGACATTAAAAAACGAAAATCCTATCGTAAACGCGCGTGTTTCTTCAAATTTAATTTTCCAAAATATACACCAAATAAATTGAATAAACAGAAATAAATCAAATCGTTAATAACAAATTCAGAAGCGAATTTGGAATCGATTTCTTCTTAGCATTAAGTATCATTTATCATCATTCTCTAATTTTCATCATTAAATATCTCTGCAGTTAAACTTCAGGTTGAGTTTCTGTTATAAAGCACACTTAAAATTAGCTGAATAATTCAGATTTCATATCTGTTTGTTCTTTCAAATCTTGATTACTCGCAAAAAGCCCTTTATTTTCGATCGCTGATTACTTGGAAACCACATTAAAATTTTTATTGAAAGAAACCTTACCTCTCCAAAGGTTGATATATTTGCCGCGTTTGCTCCGAAGCGTTTCGAGAATATTTGTATACGTTTATTTTGGACGCTATCAATTTTTGTTAGTAATTTAGCCGCTGTGTCGGCAGGTCGCTTGTTTTTCGCAAATGTTGACCCGTGTCAACATTGACCACGATTTAATGCGGAAATGTTCGCTCTTGGTGTATCTACAGTCGCTGACTTGTCTACGTGTGTTTGTGAGAGAAACGTACAGTTGTACGCGGCAGAATTCAGAGAATCTCTTCTGGGACGGACTCTGGTCGCGAGTAATTCACTTTCAAGAAGAAGTCCAAGTTTTGATTGCGTGCTCAGATCGCGACAATCGTTTCTATCGCGTTTCTAACGCCGTTGGAGCGTGTTCGTTCGGAGATGCTCGCCGCCTTGTCGCTCGCGGCTATGCCGAAGGGTTCTTCTCGTTCTCTCTCTCTCCCTCTCTCTCAATGGAAAAAGAAAGGAAACGACGGAAGAAAGGATATAAATCAGATCCGCTAATATAGCGTCGCTGAATAGCCCTGATTTTTGCCGTCGTGCTTCTCCTCCTTTTCGTTCTCCTTTTCCCTGTGCAGCTCGTGCTGACTTTGCTGTACCATTTATACGCACCTCATGCACTTCAACCAGACGGCGATTAGGTGGAAAACTGTACAAAGAATAGGCGCAATTTTGCAACTAACAGAATCAAATTTCACAGCTTAAAATCATTACATTGATTACATGAATGAAACTCTATTGTCTCCAATAAATAATAATAGAAAAATCTGAGATATTTTAGAAGCAAACTATGCAACTCTTTAAAAAAATTAGAATTTGTTTATTCAATTGCCACATTTTGGCAATTGTGAGACTGTGAAAAGAAATAGAGGTTTAACTGCAGAATGAAAAATCTTTAATGACCCGCCATACATCTTGTACGCATCTTTTATGCATTTGCAATCATGTACTTGTACCTTCGTGCGAAGTCAAAAGCTTCAATCTCAACTCCGTTCTATTTCCGATCAGTTACTGTAATAACATTTGCCCTCTTGTTTCACTTCCCATCTCGTTTAGATATATTGTTGACATAGAAAGAAACCTCGCGTGCGCGCATGCAAAATATTATCTTTTTATTCTCTTTTTTCTCTTCCTCCGTTTTGTTTAATCACGCCCAATATACATTTTTTACGTGACTTTATTTTTTATTTATTTCTGCAATATGCGTATATCTCGCTTTCTACACAGGGAAAAGAGAGCCACGTTAGCGCGCGATAGTAAAGAACGAAATCCGCCACACGTTGCAAAAAACGCGTCCGTTCTCGGGTTAACGTACCTGCATCGAAAACTGTTTAATTTGGCAGCTGCCTCGAACTCGTCGTCGCGTCGCGTTATATGTAACCGCGTCCCGTGCATCCGGTAACATTTAATCTCAGAAATTTAACCCTTTACCGCAGTTCTGTGTAACGATCGGTGCAGCCTGCAGCCGGTATCTGAAGCCGTCGATGCTATATTTCTCCACAGGAAACTCAAGCCTTGTAATTAGACTCGCATAGTGTTACATCGGTGAAGTATATCAAATTGATTGAGAGAAACAAGCTTCTCTTGTGTGTAGAAAAATATAGGATATCTCATTTCGGAAATAGCCCTTTCGCAAATACGTATGTCAGATACGAGCAAATCTAGAAATGCGAAATTCTGATATATTATCTGTATCTCATTGGATATATTACCTGAATCTCACGTAGATATCTGAATGCAACTAAACTTAGTAGCTGAATAGGGCACGTAATACCTCCGTAAATGCAATACCCTGAGATGTAATGTCATGTAAACCACGCGCGTCAGACGTATCGGATGTCTATGAGGACACCTGGCCGATTGCTTCTGATCCGCGAAGGATCACACGGAGATTACAGTGAGCGGGTCATCGCAACGAAAGGTTTGTTTCCAACAGGTAGATATCTGTTTCTCAGATTTACGCACACACCTAATAATATATTACGTATTTAAATTTCATTTCGCCGATCGAAACGCGGCGACCCGGGCTTTTGTCCGCGGTTTAAAAGCCTTTTTATCCTGTTCAATGGCTTCGCTACTGTCTGAAATATGACAGATCGGGCTGCTCACCCGAGCCAGGGAGAAGGGGTTGTAAGCGCGAAATAGGGGTTGTAGCAGAGTAAACCCGAGCGGAATTTGAGAGCGCAACCTCCCAGTGCCGCGCCAGCGTTTCGGTATGAATACCGATAAGCGCCTTTCGCAAGCATCGCGACGCTTTTTAAGCACCACCTCGGAACCGTACTAATGAAGAGTTCGCGCCTTTCGTGGTGAGGTGGCTCGATCTCCTCCCATTCTTCCCTTATGCAAAATGCAATCATCTCTTCTCCCGTGTGAGAAAGAGCAAAAATTTCTCCTTTCGCGTTCACCTATCCCGCGTTATTTATCTTTACGGCATTCTTTTGTCACTGTTGCATAAGGTCTTTCTATAGTTTCTATAGCTATGGAAGTTATGGAAGTTATGTATCATCTATTTAAAAAATGCGTATTATACATATGCATATATTTGTGATTTGCTACAGAAATGCTAACGTAAATATTATTTTAATCGTTGCAAGCTAAATTAAATGTATATTTTTCAAGTATTACGATCACTGATGGTACGTTGAAAACATTTCGATATTTTTTACGACTAGTTATAAATAAATATACGTTTGACGTTTATAAAGAAATTTCTATTTCCAAAGAATATTCGCAGAAAATTCGTCACTGTGTAAAAAAAAACTTCGTTATTTGCGAAATTCCAACAAATTCACGAAGTACATTCAGCGAATGTACCGATTTATACATAGTTAATAGATAGATATCAATTATGCGCAATATATCGGGGGCGCTTTGTAATTATTGTTTCAAGCATTGTTCTATATTTAAATATATGGTCTCCATCCCTATATGGGCAAAATGAGCACTTTTGTCACGTCACGCGCAGGTCGCCTGGATAAAGTCGGATTCGCGTGCGATTTTGGCCATTCACACGCACATGGTGGCGCACAACCCACGCTTGTCCGTCACTCACAACGGCCATAACACATGGAAGCTGCACGTGACTAACGTTCAGCCGAACGACTCCGGCACGTACATGTGTCAAGTTAATACGGATCCTATGAGAAGCCAGGTCAGTAGAGCCGTTGAACATTAGCGCGACAGTCATCGCCGTTCTCTATCACGTTCTACGTTGCCGCCGAATAGAGGACGATATGTCGTTCCGACCCTCTGTATAACGCAAATGCCGCGTGAATGCAACGTATACACGCTGCATACGTTCGTACAAAACGGAGAACATTCAGCGCGGAAATGGGAAACGCTCGTGTCGCGATATAAAATTCTTTTCTAATAAGTTACTTTTTTAAAATTGAGTTAGAAGATTTTTTGAAATTTCTCTGACTCGCTCAAGCTCGCGAATGAAAGAGCAGAGTCAATTTAGATTACTGCAGATATACTTTTATTCTTTTTAGAATTATGTATTCTTAACTAATTATTTTATATACCTTGATTTCTCGTACTTTCTTTTGTTTTTTCTTCGAAAATAACTATAAATATGTCAGAGAGATCAAATATTGACAATATTAATAATATCTAAAAATCTGAGTATTGCACATTTGGATTCAATATATCGGAACTCTTTCTTTTGCGCTGAATTTGGTTCTGTCGAGTACATCAGTTAAATTATCGACGAGGTCGATACATTTCCGAATAGTATAACGAATGCGAATCTTGCGCCTAGACCGGTCACATGAAAGTTGTGATACCGCCCGATATCATGGACCTGGATAACACCGCGGATATGCTGACCACCAAGGAAAACGGCGATCTGCTGTTACGGTGTCGAGCTACCGGCAATCCGGAACCGGTGGTGATCTGGCGACGGGAAGATGGCCGGAACATCACGCTGAGGAACGAGAACAGCGTCAAGCGAAGTACGATGCTAAGTAGTTTTTAGACATTTTGACGAACACACATGCTAGGGGATCAAATAAAACGCGTGAAAAAATGAATAGAATTTACGTTTTTACAAAAGAAAAAATTATTTAGAATACGAACAATATCTTTCCCCATTTTCTTCCCGACTTGTATGAAAATTCAAAGAGACAATAATATCTTTTGCGCTACATGTACGTGAAATCCAAAATAATTAGCATTGACAAGAACACGCTTATTATGCGATCGCTATTAGATTGAAAGATACAATGCGCGGATAACAATAGGAATCCATGTTCCGATTTGATTAGTTGTTAATTAAACGATAATGCCTACATTATCGCGTGAAAGTGAATTGATTGTCTGTCGCAGTCTTAAAATGTTGAATTAAAATTCCATCATATACCCCACCGAGAGATGTCATTAAACGTGAAACGCGCCACCACCAAAAATAAATGAAAATTCCTACCGTCGGGATATGACTAATGATTATAAACCCGCGATTGCCGCGACTCTATAAAGGGACGCGACTGGTCATGACTAAACGAAACCGCACGCCCGGCGATTTATCTTTAATTGATCCGTACGGTGCGCGGGCGATTTTCGAGATGAAATATTCCCCCCCGCGAGCGGATCACTTTTAAAAGAGCGACGGTGCACGACGATAGGGCAAACCCCGTCGTCGATGTCCGCCGTGTCCCGCGGAAAAGCAGTCATCCGATTAGCCTTCTTGACTGTGAGTGATGGATGTTGACTTTACATATATTTCCTCTTCGCCGTGGCCCGCCCCCCCTTCTATCGACTCGCGTACCCGATTGCAATATCCAGGGTGTGTACACTGCGTCGCGAGAGTGTTACGCTGCCACGGTATCTCCATCCCGCCAGGAGCGACTCCGTCTTCTCTCCGCCGAACGCGTCAGAATCTTGATTTTATATTGTCTCAAAAGCCTCTAATTACCACTCTAATTATCTTCCAAGCAAGAAACACCAAGAAACATTTTAACTACATTACATTTTAGCAACGTTTTAACATTAATGCAATGTAGTTGAAATGTTATTTCTTGACGTTTCTTGCTTACTGGGTTATTTCTCATAACTGAAGACACGAAATAATCTATGGTAATATTTCGAAAATATTTCGTACTTAGCGTATCATATTTTTAAGCACAGATTTCTCTTATTTAAAAATCTGGGACAAAAATTCTTATTGGAACAATATCGAAAGAACGATTAATTATTTATTACAAAAGAGTAAAGAGTTTGTTATACAAAGTTTTTTTATTTTACGAAAGAGAACTGCGCAGATAGATGATATATAGCGCATCTTCTGCATAAAAGAGATGATGTTTGAGAAATGATCGGTCGTACGAATAAGATTATTTTGTGTCGAAAACCGAGAGCGTCTGAAAAACATCTGGATTTTCGAATCTCTCATTCTTTATCACGTCGGAAATGTTAAAGCAGCGCGTACGTTTGAGGGCGAGCAACTTCATCTGCGGGGCATTCAGCGGCAGGAGATGGGATCTTATCTCTGTATCGCGTCGAACGGAGTGCCGCCGTCGGTCAGCAAGAGATATTACGTCAACGTCCGTTGTAAGTGTACGCGTGTTGCTACGAGCAACTTCCGTTCGATCAACTTACACTAACTGCATCTTTCTCGTTAAAGTCAAACCGCTGATTAAAGTCTCAAACCAGTTAGTAGCGGCGCCCGTCGACAGCGATGTCCTTCTCCAGTGCTACGTAGAGTCCTCGCCGAAGGCTCTGAACACATGGTACAGAAATAATGGTGAGAGAACACCTACTTTCGTTTCGTGTGCTCCAGATACTTGTCTATTTCTTTCGACAGCACAGGCTATAATAAATATAATGCTTAAACGCTTTGTAATTATCTTTTTTTTTTCATCTCAGTCATCACTTGGGGCACTTTTTATTTATCAATTTAGCTGACTTTTACCTATTCATTGACATTCTCTGTACTAGGATTTCACGAAAAACTCGTTGATGAAAGTATATGAAGCATTTTGTTTGTACCAGGAACGCGCGTTTCAACGGTTCTACGTCGACTTTATTATATATGCACCAGGATTAAAAAGCTATAAAAATTTTTATGACAATTTGATAAAAATTTGATGAAAAATTAGATAATTTAGTCATTCTCTCTGCGAGAACAGCCAACGGCAGTTTATTATTATTTATATCATTGAATTAATAATTTTATTGAAAAGAAAAAAATATGCATTTCTTTTAAGTTGATAAAAATATGTTCTTATGTAGCGCATTCTCTTATCTCCACTTCTCAAAAAAGTTTCAAATAAAAAGGATTCTGTTTTTAAATATAGATATATAAATATATATTCTCGATAGAATTATCTCGAAAGATATTTACTTTAGGAGTCAAACTACTCGCTGATGAGAAACACGATATATCGGAAGTTACCATCAACGATTATGCATATCAGCTAAATCTCACTGTCAGACACCTTGACAAATCTGATTTCGGCACTTACACGTGCTCGGCTGAAAACGCTTTCGGAAAAATGGAAGGGTCCATAAGATTACAAGGTACAGTAGCAACTGTTCGTATAGATGTCGTAAAAAAATCCATAAATTAAATATCGTAGATCCACAATGTTACTAAGGTCCGCCGAAAGCAATTCTTGTCTATTTTGTTATCTTATTATTTTTATAGAACGCGTTAAATACAATACGTGCACACGTATAAAGAAGAAAATGGATTATAATCCATAATTTATACATTTATGTTTAAAATTTTTTAAATATTTATATACGTCTGGCCTCTTAATTGTCAGACAATACCCGTAATCGTCCCCGTTGCTTCGAAATCGAATTACAGAGCTGCAGATATCCAAACCAACGACAGTCTCCACGCGAAATACCGAGACCATCGAGAAGCATACCTGGCACAAACAGACGGAGAAGAAGGGGAAGAAACACTCATATGTGCTCGACAAGGAGTCGGATCTGATCCCGAAGAATGTGGGCCACACCACACCGATGTCCAGGCGAAATTTATCGAGTGCATTGCCAAATATCGCGAACAAATCGAGAATCTCCGCGTTTCCGGCGCCGGCACCGGCTCCAGCGCATTCGGCACCGACGCAACTGGGTGCCCAGAAACCCCCATTTAATGGTGTTAAATCATTACGCGATTCACGATTATGTCACGTCGGCCTCGTCGTGATCGTCCTGATGATTTTAATTCACGATTGAATTTGGAGAGTAAGACTCTTTCACGACAATGAGGTCGTACAATTACAACGAAATTGGATCATTCCTCGTTATTTCAATTGTTGAAAGACACGCGAAGTGGAATTACGTGTAATCGATATTAAAATAATTTTTTGCCATATTTTCATTTAAGTGTCAGAAGAACGTGGTGCAAAATATCGAATGCATCGGTATTTTGCTGTAAATAATAATACATTTTTATGACAATAAATGTAGTTACGTCTGAAAAGTAAATGAGATCACGAAAAAGTATCTGAGAAGTAGAACACGCTGTTAAAAACGTTCGCTTGTAAATGCCATCATTATACAAAATGCATTCCAGACGATATTACGTATTTGCTAATAACAATTTTTCATCTAACATACAGCGGTAAATTGACGTGCGATATTGTTCTTTTATTTTCATTCCAATGAAAAAACATCATTTTACATATTTTCAAATAGTAGGCATTATTAAACGTAAGAATTAGAAGAATCGTCCCGATTGGTTCGTGTAATTATCGCGCAGTTAATGGGTATATACATTGACAGAGTAATTAAAGAGGGGTCCATACTAAAAATCGACTGAATTTGGGATCGTTGGTCTTTGGAAACCGACTAAATTAAATTCATTCGTCTCTAGGAACAGCCATATTTAACTCTAACGAGAATTATGACATGTATATATGTATGACAATAAATGTTGTTTCTACTATCATCCGCGAGCGCAATCTTCCTCTTTCAGGATGTCCTAGCGCTTTTCTTTTCAGCGAATTTTTTTTATACATAATCTAATTTAAACGCTTTAATTAATTTAATAAAAGAAAAACAAAATACTTGAACTACGTGTACCATGGACGTAATCATTAATTTACTTATAAATAGTGATACACGATAAAAAGTCTATCTTAGATTATTCATAATTCGTGTCAGAATTCAGGATAGAATTTTATTTCTAATTTTATGTGCTGGGTAAAACAAAAACGTTTGAAACCCTTTTTCCCGCTAGAGTGCACACATATACATATAAAATATATATATGTCATGTCAAAGTACCTGACACATGTATCTGAAATTATAAATAAAATTTTGTTCTCGAATCTGACGCGAATTAGGTCGTTTAAAGTGGACTTAATGCAGCATTATAACATCGATAAAACATTTTGTAAGAGTGCATCTATTTTTTTAACATACATATAATCATTCAATATTGACATTTCGCAAAAAAAAATCATATTGCGCGACATTCGAATAATATCACAATAGTGATAAAAGAAATGTCGGTTATTCAATGATACTGATTTGCGTTATCATCGCCAGGAGGAAAAAGCCACGAGGATGTGCCGCCCACACATACGTTTTACTCGTCGCTCGCTGTCTCGAGGACTCTTAGTTAATTCAACAGTTTCGTCGCGATCGAGTTCCACGACAATGAAGCAGTTATTAATTATTTATCTTCTTTGCACGTTCTTCCAAGCGGCGTTATTGGCGTCGCCATGTGTGAGGATCACATACAAACGAACGAATGATGTTGGATTTCAGTGCACTCAGTTAACGACACTGCAACAGCACTTGGACGAAGCATGGACCAACACGACGATCATTACGATTTTCGATTCGAATATACCTAACATACCCGGGTAAGAAAAGAGAAGAAATTGTCCGGAGGTTGTAAGAAAAAATTGATTGAATTGGCATTACGATATAACCGATTTTTAACATAATATATGACGATAACGCATTTTATTTTATCGTGAATTTTGTAATAATATCTGTCCGATGTTTATATTTTGATACATTCGAATTTGCGCTCTATCTTTTCTTCTTTTATTTTACAAAGAATATTCAGCATTTTCTCTTAGTAACTGTTTATATCATATTTCGGAATATTCTGAATAATCTTTTTTTGAATATTCATTGTTTATCGAATATATTACATGGAGTTTTGTGAATTTTTCCTACCTACGAAGTAATTTACGATTTTTTATTTTATTCTACCAAAGACACAATTTTGCGAGATTCGGGGCGACTCTCGTGACTTTAGATCTACATGAATCGGGCATACAGACGTGCGACGCTCAGGCATTCGTAGGTCTCACGAAGCTGAAAAAGCTGATGCTCTGGGGCAATAAACTGACAAGTGTGCCAGGAGATTGGTTTGTGAACATGCAACACTCCCTGCAGACTTTGGACGTGTCGTTCAACTTTATTCGGTGGATCGACTATACGGTCTTCCAGATGCTTCCTAATTTGGAGAACTTTTACTTCGACTACAACCAACTGAGCTATATCGATTACAACATGTTCGCTTATCTGGGTAATTTGAAGAAAGCAAAATTCAGCAAGAATCCATGGAGTTGGCCGTAAGTTAAATCGAAATATTATAAACATTAACGAAGATACTGGCTTAATTACTTTGTTATTAACCACAAATAATCTAATACGAAAATCTTCTTATTCATTAATCCGCAAATTTAATTATTTTAACAAAAAGAAAGCTTATATATACGCATCCTCTTAAATAAGCTAAAAAGAACATTAATAAAATGAATAATTTTTTGTCCGATTTTTATACATGTGCTAATGTGTGCAACGCGCTTGCAGGTATCGCGCTCGTTTGACATGGCAATTGGAGAACCAGAAGGTTGAGATGTTAGACACATGGGAAGATTGGAACTGGATGAACGCCGTGATCAAGGACTGTGTCGAGAGTGGTCGCGGCGAGTTGCCAAGCGATAAGGTACTCGATTGCGTCGTGGAGAAGCTGCTCGCGTTCACCTACGAGACCTTCAGCACGCAGGAGAGGAGTAGCCCGGGTGGATGCAGCGAGCAGACCATGCGATTAGTACGTTGCATGAGACCGAGCAATGCCACTGGTGACACCGATTACGAAACGGTACGGAGGATCTTGGAGGATTATTCTACGATTCTACCGTCAATGCAAAGAGCATTAAGCCCCTTCCCGTTGAAACGATAAACGCGATGTCTCTGTCTTCTTAGGGACTTCTTTTAGGATAAAGGTAAATCTTGAGACACTTCTACCATAAATTTATTACCGTGTACTCTATAATTGCGAGAACTCTTAATCGATACGTTTCTGATTCTGTATATAAACTTCAAATGGATAAATAAAAAGAAAAATGCGTGATTATACATTTCATGTATAGCATTCTACATATTTGATATTTATATCACAAAAAAAGAGAAGTATATTTCTTCTGTATTAATAGAATGAGAAGGATTAAAGAAAAAAAAAGTATAGGATTAGAAATTCATACAAAAATAATACCTTTATTAAATTAAACTTTTCCGCTATATGATATGAATTATGCATAAAGGTATTACAAACTACACATAACATATGATCACAGATTCAATAATGCAACACGCTATGCGTATCTTACAATTAAAATTTATTCTGGGCACAGCCGGTATCTCTTATTTAAACTGAACATATAAATTAATCTTTCATTACATGTACCTACGTAAAAAATGAGTATTTAAAAGAATATCTTTTAATAATGTGTAATAAACGAACATACTTAGAACTTTAAAGATAAACTACTTTTTAACATAAATATGTTAATTGCTTAAAAGAACAATAAGTAAGAAGTTACAAAATCTCTTGCAGTACACGAAACTTGCAAATATCAAATTTTTAAAATTATTATAAATACATTTTCAGACATGAGTCCATCATATTGCACAAATAAAATTTTAAAATGGCCATTGGTATAAACAGTTAAATTTTATAGATTATAATTCCATCAAATATGTCTTGTAGATTGGCACAAGTCTTAATAATTAGCTTTTCAATATTTCTTAGGCACTTTTTTTAAAGCACACTGTCTAAGAACTGTGATTTAAAATCAATTTTTGAATTGAGAAACTTTATTAATTATTATCGTTAAAATGAATGGCCATATATGTCATGGGTAATATTTGTTATATAGATTAAAACTTCACCAAACACATTGTAATGTTGCAAGCTTAAATAATTTAGAATTAAAATATTTTAGGTACCCAAATAGAATATATTTTGAGCACTCTGATATTAAAAAGTATACTGTCTTGAAATTGTAACTTAAAATCCAATGTTGAACTGAGATATTCCATTAGTCAATGTCAATATTTAATAAATGTTAAAAAACTTGAGAAAAATAGATAAGAAAGAGTTATTGAGCTTTTCTTTGGCAACTGCGTCAGTAGGTTTTGCATGTGTATGTAACAATTAAAGAGAAAAGATCGAAACAAATGGTAAATAGTAGCTGATCTAATTTCGAACTATTCCTGGAGATTGCCACATAATCGGTGCGTCAGTCACACAGTTAATGTCCATTCCTGATTGAATATAATGCTGTTCATATAATAGCTGCGGCGCTAAAAAAATACACGCAAAATTGCGTTAAAACGCAGTGCATTGTGTATTGCAAAAATGTGTTTCGAGGCAAACGAAAAACGCGAACGAGATTTCGCGATATAAACGATACTTGTCGATTACTATTGAAAATCGAAATTTTGTAAATATTACGCGTGTTTTTCGTTGTCGGAGTTGAATTAATCCGCGTAGAAGCATTTTGTCAAAATCGCCTTTGATTCAACGCGCGCAAATACAGAACAAAATAATCAAAAGCTTTTAATATAACACAAGCCAAAATGTTATACGTACCGCTATTCGCCATACCGGTTAAATATTGGTAGACTTGAACGGATGCCACGCTCATGGCTTCATGTTTCGACGCCATTGGTTCCCCTTGAAATTCGAACATTATTATATCATCTTTGTAAATAGTTACCTAAAACAACGTGACACAAAAGAAAATAGTGAATCATCAGGCATAAATAAAAAAATAAGTTGTCGCTAATTTATTAAGGCGTTTACTCTGCCAGCATAACCGGACGTATCCATTATCTGTACGCAGTCAAAGGTGCACGTCGCATCGAATCTTTCCTTGACCAAGCTCAGCAGGATTTTCATCTGTGCCAGGTAAACGCTGTCCTCGTGTGTTTTCGCGAACGCTTTGATGGAGCGTTTCTTTCCTTGTTTCGAGCGCGGAATTTCGGTCTTTTGGACATTCGAGTTGGTTGCCGCCTCGCGAATGTATCGTTGTCTTTCCAGAACCTTGGACGCTCCGATGGGTTTCGCCCAACGGACCTCCCAACCCTGTTTCTCGACAATACTATTTGTTTCTAAAAGTAAAAAGGTATTCGTACAAAGAATTAAACGTAAATCGGTTTTCCACAGTTTGAAATAAAATAAAATTTTTGGAGCAAAGACAACTATTTCCATTTAGTTGAAAAAGTATTAGTCGAAATAGTAACATTAATTTAATGATGTATATTCTAATCTCAAGAAAACGAATGCGAGGAGAAAATACTTTTATCAACAGGATTAATTTTGTGCGATAATTATATGTGTTATTGTGAGAAATAAAAATACAAAATGTTATTTGTTACAATTAACAATCTGTTTATCAAGATTTGGTATGTTTCTGCTGAAATCACTCTATATTTACTCCCCTTCGCGTTTCTTAAGTTTTTTTTTTATTTTCTTCATTGCCTTTGGCTCGGGTTACGTCGCTCGCATACTTACTTTGCATTATGTCCATTACAGTCTGCGCGGCTTCACGATTCTCGTAGTGAATGAAAGCGAAGTGATTGATCTTCTTCAGCTTCAATATTGGCACGTTCGTGTGCCTGTAGAGGATCTCCTTCACCTTCTGCTGCGGCATATCGAGCGCGAGGTTCCTTACGAACAGAGCCGTCACCTATTTGTCATCGCGTACGATATTGAGTTAGTGCAACATATCCTGTTTCACGCCATTCTATATATATATAAAATATATATACAAGATATACAATAATATGAAATGTGATTTTGCTGCGGCAGATTTATCCTACGTCAAGGCGCGCGTTCTTTATACAGAATTCTTACAGAAATATATTATTACACGCGTTTTTCATCGCAATATATTCCTTGGAAATTAAAAAAAGCGAGAATCTTTTTTTGCAATTAGAATATCTATTTTAAAATTTACTAATTCAATCTACATCGAATTCAATCACAGCAAATAATTTGTAATATGTAAGTTTTATAATAAGTTTAGCACTATTCACATTTTATAATATTAGATACGAAAATTAGATACATTTTTAATCACGTTTTTAATCAATTTTTGTCGAAATATAATAAAATTACTAATAAGCCATTGCAAGTGAAAAAAAGCCATATTTTTTTAATTCTTCCCAATTTGAAATATATTTGTACAATTACACAAAACGCGATATGTATAAACGCTCCAATTTATTCGATCTCCGTTTCGATAATATTACGTATCCCGTAAAATGTAGTATTATTTTTATGTGTTTTATTTATTTTATAGAATTATATACATTTTTCGTTATATCGATCATTATCTCTTCAAATATCACATCTATCGTTACGCATACATTATTGACTTTGGGAAATAAAATACCTAGTTGCGAAGAGAGAGAAAAACCTGCACGTTGAATTAAAAAAGAGATAGGAAGACTAAAATTGTAAAAAAAAATTAGAACGATGAAATAGTAATCGATTTTAATGTTCTTCCAATTTTGAGAAAACTTGGAGAAGATTCACCGTTTCCATGATGTCCTCGTCGATCGGATCGCCCGGTTCCGGATCCGCCCAGTCCACCGCGATCTCGTGGTCCCAAAGCATCACTTTGCCGGGTATGAGCTTGCGCCGGGCCATCGCGGCCGCCCGATGATCTCGGAACTCGACGAAGATAAAACCGCGATTTAGGCTGCGATCGTGGGCGCTCGGGTACAAGTAGACGTCCGTGATGCCGTCGAGGATCTTGGTCAGCTCCTCCATAAACTCCGGCTTGGTCTTGGTCTTGGGTACACCGCCGAAGAAGAGCCGACAGTTGTCCATGGACTTGACCACGCCGATGCGATGCCCCGGCCGGATCTCGTGGCCGTCCAGGCGCTCGCACGCCTTCCGGGCGATCCGCGGGTTTTCGTACAACGCGAACGCGTAGCCGCGCGTCGACCCGGAAAAGTCGAGCATCAGTCGCAGTTCCAAAAGTCGGCCCACTTGCTCCAGCAACGGCATCAGCTCGTCCTCGTAGCAATCGCGTGGCAAACGACCCAGGAACACCTCCGCGCCCTTAACGCGTTCCCGTTCACCGCGCGAAACTTCTGGCGCCGTCAACCGTCGCTGGCCGTTCTCCTGCGTACACGAAATGCTTTCTTTTTTTGCGCGGTTGCGATGATAGGAGAAAGAAGACTTTATATATTAATTATTTGACTTGATTAGAATATTTAGAAAAGAGGATAGCTCTGTCATAACTAACAAGTGAAGAGAAACGCATTTATTTATCATAGATACATTCGTTAATTCTTTAGCTGATGAAGACGGAGCTTTCTAAACGCTGTTAATTACTTTATTAGTAGATTAATATATTTATAAGACAAGTGTTATAAAGAAATCTACATATTATTGCTCTTGCTAATGTTTTCAAGTTATTATTTCAACATTTTTTAACTTTTACTCGCAAGGGAAAGATTATTTCGCTACGTCTGTTGACAACGTGTATTAATACCGAAAGATAGACAAAAAATAAGACGAGAAGTTACACAAATTAAATTTTCACAAATCACATCGATCGCTTCTTCAAGCTATTATCTCAATATCTTTCAACTTCTATTCGTGAAAAGATTATTTAAATATTATTTCCCGATAACAAGAGCGTCTTAATATTAAAAAATAAGATATAAATTATAAGGAAACTCCTGTATTGTACTTATTGTAAGTGATTCTCGCCGTTTTCAAGTGACTACTTTAATTTGTCTCACGCTGAAAAATTATTTCGTTCTCTAGCCGAATTCGCATTAGTATCGAAAGATAAGTAAAGTAGTCGGTGGATTTCTGTCTGTACCTGCACGAGCTCGTACTCCGTGCGACGCAGCATCTCCAGGAGTCGCATGGTACGCTTACACTCCCCGGCGAGGTCCATATCCCCGTCGTCGCTCATCGTAATCGACGTATAATCCCGCGAACTGCACGTAGCGAACAAAATCAACAAACAAACTGATCTCCCTCCGGATTCGGGGTAATCGACGGAAGAATTGGAGGCACTGGAGGGCTGTAGAGGTGACGGAGTGGGGCGAGGCGTTTGGAGCCGGATTCCGGGAAATGTGCAACGCGAGACGGCCAAGTCGTTTTTTGCGATAGACTCGCTACACGCTACGCATTTTTATTGGAGTCCGAGGTGGTCCGAGGGCTCGACAATTATTTTTCTTTTTAGATTTCTTTCTAGAAGCTTATATTTTCCTTCCCGTTAATTCTTTTTGAAGAAGCTTTATAAAAGATTCATTTTACATTAGTTTTACTCCGACGAGAGGCTCGTTTAAGAACACTCCGAATTATTGTAACTTATATAGTTAATGAGTTAAATCATTATTTTTACATTATTTTGGCTCGATCGCTTCAATCCTTTCACTTTCGCAATTATTCATCAAAGTCTACGTAAATGCACAGCGTGTCACGACTTATATTCTTACATGTAAAAGACATTATTTTACGCTCGAAAGTACAATTTACAATGTAACTTGAGTATTTAAGATCATAGATCACATCGTGAAGAATAAGTCTAATAAAGTTGGAGAAGCAGAACGGTTTATAATCTAATGTTGACGCTATGTTTTTATACGCGAAAAGAAAGCTATTGAGATAGTTAGAAGGCAATTACGTAAAATCTTATATGGTTCTCTCTTGCTTTTACGCGTAAACAAAGAGAGAAGAGGAGAATATTCTTACAATGGTTCCTGAGCGAAAAATAAAACAAAACGACTATACCGAGTTTACACTCCGTTTTAATGTTATCTTTTATCACACGCGTTTTATACTTTCTTAAAAATGCATTTAGTATGAAAATAGCTTTTTATTTTAAAAATCAATTTCTATTAAATGCAATTTTTATAAATTTTTATTATTTCAATAAGTCTACGAGATATTAGATATTTTTCCTTACAATAACTTTATGTTAACTCTAAGTATACTTAATTATGGAAGTTTATACGGCACAATTAATGTGGCGATCGTGGCGCAGAGAAATGTGAGGTCATGATAAGCCGGAAATCCGATTTCAAATATTTGCTTTTAAATATTTGCACATGTCGTTTTGGTGGATACTTTCGTGATGTGACACGTGTCAATCATGATGGTAAATTTTTTAAATTTTATTATTAAAACCACCAGGGAGTCAATAATTAAAAATAAAATCCAATATCTTTAATCTTATAATCATAGCCATGACTATTATTGAGATAAAGATTACGTTTTAAATATATTCAAATTTGTAAGCACCAAAGAGATTGTAAGTTAAAAAAGAAGTTTGAAAATGATTTAAATTTTCTATCTTTTCTGTATATCTTATGCGAAAAGCGAATATCAATAGCTGCTGGAGTAGCTGACGGTAAGCGGTAAACTCCAGTCGATAACAAATTAAACATTTTTTTTATTACTTTATGATTTCATTATAATATAGATAAATTTGCATTTTGAAACATTCATAACATTCAATTACTTTTAAATAATTTACGTAATTTATAAAAGTTATCATACCAAGTAATCCTTCCGTAGAATACTAAATTACTTAAAAAAGGGGAGAAAAACGAAGAAAACAAAAGCCATTAGTATTTATAATGCCACAAGTATTTAATAAAATTATAAATTATATGCAATTTATATAACGTGCGTATAAAAACCATTCGCAGAATGCATTTATTTAAATACTAATAATCTTAGAAAGGCAGTATCAGCGACAAAGCATCCAAAAATGAGTCGCAAAAATAATTTCTTCTTCTCTGTTAACTTCTCTGTTACAATTATAAGGTATCCATATCGCAGTCTGTACAGTTGAGATCATCGATCCTATTGTAGAGCGAATTTTGCGACACAGGTGCCCCGTCCTCGAATAACGCGCTGAACCGTTTGTAATCCTCGACTAATTGATGAATTTTGTCACTGATATCCGGACACGCAATCCCGCTCTCAATTATGTGACTCAGCCTATCGATATTGTCCGCACAGATCGAAGATTGTTCTATGAGCTGTAATTCCTCCTTCAATGCCGCGTTCAATATAGTCGCCTGGAAAAACCACGAGAGTTACATAATGCTTGAATAGCATTTACATATAGCGAAAACAACGATTGTTTTTTTTTTCAGTTATGATTAAAACCGCGATACGTACTCGTTTTGCTCTCTGCTGAAATTCCTCCAGTTTCCCGCGCATGCACTCAAACTCTGCTTCCGTGTATTGCACTCCTTGAAGTTTATCCTCATTCGCCAGAACATTGTCGGGTACAGCGATGAATTTGTTCACAATATTCTGTTTAGAATAAAATATGGGTTAATGTCATATTTACAACTTTCTTCACTATTTTTACTTTAAAGTTTTGAACTTAAAAGATATGTCTTACAATTAGATGTAAAAAAAGGCATAACCTAATAAAATATAATTAGACATATGGATTCAGGAAGTATGAAAGCAATTACCTCTATATTTTTCAAATAAGGCACCGAGGCTGCATAATACGCTTTTACAAGTCTTTCCTCGTTTGCCTTTAGCACGGCCAAGTTTTCTGAATCTGGTTTATATATTTTTTCCAACGTCTCACATAACTTTTTGCTCCTAGACTGTATTCTTTCCATCACAATATTCTTGACTATAACAGACCAAAGAGAGAGAGAGAGATATTACTATGAGAAGTCATTCATGATTTTTCATAAATTAGAAACATCCAGTTATATAAAACAATGGATATAAAAACACTTGATGCAACAGTAGTCTTTCACAGAAAGTGAACAAAAGATCTAAGGCTACAAACACGTTGAAAGCTAAACTATTAAGTTTCAAAAAATTTCATTTCTTCTCAAATAAAATTAAGGCTTTGTCGAGTTGTAATTTTGTTTTTTCTTTCAATGAATTTTCTAGGTAAATATGAGCAGTCATATTGCGACATTTACAATTCGACTCATGAAAACATGAAAAAATTAGAGAAGTAAGAGAAAAGCTAAAGAAATCGCATAAGGATGCTACGAAAATAAGACAGGAAAGGATTGGCGAGACAAAGAATGCGTTCGTCGAGAGGCAACGCTTCCCACCGGTGTAGGGTCCTCGTGGAGCGACGGTAATTACGGAAGCGAGACGCCGCGTTCGCGTCCCCTCCTCACGAAAAATCCGTTGAAAGCATCTCGGTCGCTGGACGAGTGTGACTCTAGTCATGATCGAATGCCACATGAAACCAGAGTACACCCATCCAGCGGCGGCGAGACGAGCAGAAGGACGCGGGATCGGCGGGATCCCGCCGCAACGGTCGGCGTCCCCTCTCCGGGCCCTGTCCTTCCGGCGCGTCCGTCGGCGAAGCGCGGTCTGAAAAAAAACGTCGCGCGTCGAGTTCTAGAATGCATATTATGCAGGTAGCGACTTACGAGTCGCGTATACGGCTCGGGAATGGAAGCCGAACAGCTGCATCTCGTATTCCTCGCGTTTGCGCTTCCGCGACTCGGCGGAAGCGGCGTCGTCGCTCTCCATCACGGGACGAGACGAGACGGGACGATTGGGACGAGAGGACTTCTCCGCTCCTCGGACCGGCCTCGGTGAGTCGGTGCCCCCTGGAGCCTGGTTTCTATCCGCTTCTATCCGGCGGCGGACGGCAAGCGGCCCGCTCGCTCCTTCCGCACGGGAACACCTTGACAAATGTCCGTTGACAAATGAACATGGCGTCCCTTCGCTCGCGTATACGAAAGCGTCCTTTGTCCCGAGTTCCGACGCGTTCGCCAATGCATAGCGAGTATCGTGAACGGTGGGGCACACCGGGCGACCGGGGCCGGCGGGGCGACGGGCGACGTGATCCTTCACGGCTGACAGCGACGACAGCGTCACTTCGAACAACGGTGAACGGACGTCTCTCGAAGTTGAATCTGATTCATCGTGAATCGAATCTCGATCGATCATGGAGACGCTGCATCGATAAGTGCTGATTTTGACTGAAGTGCATCTTATCGACGCGGTTAATTTGGATATTAGTTGCAAGGGAGGTTTGCTGGATGGCGCCGCATGTTCCTTTCTGCGCTTCAAATAGTTCAAATCAGTTTTTCCCGCAATTGCAAGGATGACTGCCTCCGCGGAGCACAACGTTTGGACTTGATCCCACGAACTCGAGCTCGATACCCTGCGGACACTCGCACACAGTCCCACACGCATGCACGTATGTACATATTTACATTTATTCCTTCTTATCTATACAAAAAAATGGAATCAGTTTATCAGCCATGCTTTTTGTCTGTCGCTAGGAAAGAGACATCTAATAAATGCGCAGTCCAAAGAATTTTTTTCCGCTACGATGCGGACGTACTGCATCATATTTGCAAGGTAATTTACAACGCCGTTTTATATCTAAGCGCAATAATTACGACCTGGGTAAACCCAGTTGCGACACGATTTGATAAATATTAATTAAACGCAAACGCACGTACCTGTTTCTCTCGATGAATCTTTATACTTCCTATATATTTGTAAATTTACTAGCGTTCGCAGTTTACGTTGTTGTTCCATGCGTACGATAACTGCTGATTAGCGAGGCCCTGTTTATTATCATAGGCACATATATTAACGGAAATGTGCATGGCACCGTTCACCTGACAATCATAAATCTCAAATATTTTCTGTCACGCTTTATTAGTGCACGGCTAAACACGATTGTCTCCGTGAAACTTGACGCGTAGCTTTCCCGTGGAAATTTCAGAAATATAGGAAAATGGAGAAACGAAGCATTTCTCCATTCCTCGAATCGATTTCCTGCTCGAATCTCGAGTTTCACTTCGAAGATTGATTCAAGCAGAAATTTCACTTGACGTTAAACGTATATAACTACTTTTGATTATATATTTATGAATTAATTAAAATGGGTGTAAATTATAAATGGTCGACATTAAAACAGACCGACTTCTCTTTCGAATGCGCTGCGCATTGAGAATAATTCAGGAAGCGAATCGAAGGTTATCGAATCAAGCGTTAATTTTGCTCGCGCGATATTCCATATGTGTCTCTCTGCGTAGGGATCACATTAATCACGATTGCTTATTTGCGGCCGAGTGAATCATGTCTCGTTCACGCATATGCGGTCAATAACAATGTTTTCCTTTCCCGATGGCCTGACAACTGCACATATTTATTTTCGGTGAAAGGTAATTCACGGAAAAGTAATTCTTCCTTCGTGATTTTTAGAAAAACGAAATGTCCTCGAGCACTTTCTCGGAAAAAAGAAACACGTGGACCTCAACCGGATTTGGTGGTTCTCGTAAAAAAGAACAAAGGCAGACGGTCCTGCGGTTCCACACGAAACGGGTAAGTCGACTGACCGCCATCACCAAATTGCACCTTCCCGCTGCATGACATCACTATTTTTTTGTGGTGCATTAGTCACGCCGTTGCGTTGATAAGTCATGCTTGTACAATACGATGACAACGTGCTACATGTTAATGTATAGCCCTCACCAAAAGAGAAACTTTTTCACCGTCGCGACGACTCGTGTCTATTTATCATAATTGATCGCTATATGTAGTATATATGTATATATATTTAGCACGAGACAATCAACAATGATATATCGCGTTTTGTCACGATCCTCAACCATCTACATTTATTCACAAAATAGAGAGGTCAAGAACGAAAGCAGTAATTTATAACAGACATGAAAAAAGAAATTATTCAACGCGATCCTGACGTATTAACGAGAATTTACAAAAACTTGGGAAAAATTTGTAGCTTAGATGATCTTTAATATTTGACGACGTGTACTCTGTTTCTATAAATAAGAGCGCATGTTTTTTGAAGCAGATCTTGTCTTTCTTTAAAAATTAATTTTTCAATTCGTTCACCTTCTTTAGGGAAGTTCTGTTATTCTCTAAGGGAAAAAATGACGTAAAAATCAACTCTCGAAAGAAGGCTGTTTATAACAGTCGTTGAAAAAATATAGAAAGAAAGAGAAAAATTAATTTAGCAAACGCGCGCTTTATTTATATAATAAAACGACCGGTTCTGCGTCGTCAATTAATTAGCAAGTCTCGGTTTCACGTGCAGGTAATTATGACATTATACGATCTGCTTGTTAACCGAGCGTCAAGCTAATCGTTCCTTCTGTGTTGAAATCTCGTGACTCACGTTTCCTTCTTGTAAGAGCAATCGGATCGCGATGTAAGAGAGGAATGTCGGATAGGACCTTCGGGAGGGAAAGGACACCGGACACGTCCTTCGCGTGGCATCCCGTCCAAGTGGCATCGACGTTTATTTAGATAGAAAAGCGGGAATCGAGTGCTTAACGTCGTCATCGTGTTTTACACGATAAACGCGAATGGGACGAGGAGACCGCGAGGCGGGACATTCGTCACGTACAAATCGGGTCCCATATGTACGCACGTAAGCGATTGTTGGCATGCCGGCTGCGTTTACGTCGCTTATGCGTCGCAATGGGCGACCGCGAGAAACTTTACACCTACTTACATTCATGTTTTCACAGCCAACTTTGGCATTGACGAAGACCGTGACGGATTTATCTCGAATCGAGACGCACATTAGCATTAGACGGCTACTGAAAGAAGTAATCTGTGACGAAATCTAAACGAACTGGTACGCGAATAGATCTGAGGAAAATGCACGTGGCTTTTATTGTCAGAATGAATAGAGTTGCTAAATATCTTTGATTCTGAAACGCAATTTTATTTGAGAACGGTAGATAAAATAAGAGACGGCAAAGAGTAAAAAGGGTACCCGTCTAGCTCGACATCGAGGAAATCGGAGAAAATGTGTTTGAACGTTCTAACGTCCGTACATTTTTATGCACGAGCGTATGTACACGCGGAAACGAGTAGAGTGGAACGTGACATCGATAAGAAATCGATACAGGCGTAATTGCATTCCAGAATCGAGAGATCTTGTTAAAGATCTATTTAGCTCTATCGCGGCGTCATCTAAGATCATGCGTGTCGCGTGTCTGCGCGATACAGAGATAAGAGATAACGGTGATAAAAATAGTGGAATTTTAAATGTGATTTTTGTCTCCGCGGTGAGCTGATATCTTGAAATTAAAAGTTGCGCGTACATTTGTGCAACGTACGTCGACAGGGTTTTCGGTATGTCGTCATCAGGGGAAATTTAGAATTCGCGAATGTTTAAATGAATCGCAATGCAAACCTTAACGCGAGCGCGTGCGCGCACACGTGGAGCGGTGCGCGGCTCGCGTCCGCACACACACACATCCACGCGTCGCGCCCAAACACATTACATGCACGCAGTAAAAGACGTGCGCGGCGGCGCGCCGAGGTTCGCCGGGCGACTGCGCAGCCGAACCGCGCAGGTCCCCGTAAAAAGCCGGGGGCGCGATTCCGCCGTCGCTCTACTCGCTCTTCGGATACCGCGCACCGCGCGCGTTCGCCTCGCTCGCCTCAGTCTTCAGTTTTGTATTCGGTGTCGAGCTCGATTACCGTTCGGCTATTCGGCGGCGAGAAGGACGGTAACACGGTGACGGATACACTCGCCACCTCGCCACGCCACGCCGCGCGTGCGTTCGATCTTGGTCGCGATTCGAGCCGGGCGCGCGTCCCTCAAGATCCATCGCTCCATCTCCTCCTCGCCCCCGCGCGCGTGTTATCGTCGATCGCGCGATCTTCGCGTAGGATATCCGAGACGAGCGCGACCGCCGGCGAGGAATTCTCTCACCTTCGCGAGATTCGATCCGACGGGAGCCGGGAGAGTGGTTTAAAGCGCATTGTGCCATTGGTTGTCAAGTGGTTTAAAGAGAAACGAGAGAAAAAAAAGGAACGCACGAGTGGAACGACTCGACGAAGGAAAAATGCTGCCGCCGCGAATCCTCGGTCTCCTGGTGCTCCTTCTCGCCGTGCAGGGTGAGTCTCTTTTCTCGATTCTTGTTTCTCGATCCCGAGTCCACTTGCTCAGTGCTCCGCGTCGTCCGATCGACGTCGACCGTAATCTTCATAAAATTGTTGAAAGCCTTTCGGAGTTTCTGATTTTCCCTTAGCGTTACGAGTGAATTGCTTTAAACTTTAAAAGCGACAGGATGCGAGCGTCTTGTTTTCGATCGAATTGGTGTAGCTCCACGATAACGCGCTCCTCCAAACAGACACTTTAACATTTGAAACAAAATTTATCAGCGTTTCTGATAACATTTTGTTATCTGTCTGTTATCCATCTCGAATATTTATTGTGCGACGCGTCAGGAAAATCAAACGTTTTATTTTTGAGCCCGTTATCTGAACCCTTTAAAATAAACACATGTTTTTCTAATGATAGAAAGATTGATTCATATTTTTTTTCTTGCTACGAAGGTGTATAAATATGGATCGCATGATTTCTACACGTTAATTAATTTAACGTAAATTAATATTAATTTATATACAATATTTAACATCAATTAATTTAATATCAATTAGAATTAATAATCGACGATAAGCGAAAGAAATAAGTGAGGGATAGAAACAGTGCGCTGGGATGGTTACAGGGTTGTCATCATCTTTTCTTTAACAGAAATCGGGACTTTTAATTGGAGAAAGAGGAGGGGGATAAGTTTAATAAATAGAAACATTTACAAGTATGCGTAGTATATTTTACCTTTTCATTAGAATGGCTTTTTATTCTATACTTATCCATTTTAGGGCCGGTTGTTTCAACTTGTTCGTACACTGAGAAACATGTTAATTACCTAAACATTAGTTGTTTCAACAATTATTAAGTTGCGCTAAAAAAGATATAATGCATTCAAGTCAACCTTTAAAATTTTTTAATCAACAATTAATTAATTCAACTAATGTTTAGTTGCTCGTATCGGACTAAGTATTTTTTGGAATTAGCAAATTTTTTTCTCGGTGTAAACTAAACCAATAGTTAAATCATGTATATGTTTGTGTCTTTCCTTCAAATTAGACAAAGATAGACATATGATTTAATTATTAGTTTGTTTATCAGCAGATTGGAGCAGCCGGTCCTTATAGTGACACGTATAGGAAAGTACTCACTCCACAAACGTGTTAGATGGTGGAATACTCAAACCATAAGATATAACAATTGATAAATCACGTAGCTTCTCTTTTTTTGCACTTTCCAAGATATTTACCCACTTTTGATCAATACTGATATCTTTAGCAAAAAAATTTAGCAATATTGGTTTTACATTGGGTTAAACAAGGACGAATGATGCTCACAAGCGTTGTGAGCGTTAAGTGGAACGCACCTATTATAATTCCTGCTTACATGGGGGAAATATAAAGTCGCAAAATGACTGTCAAAATAATTTAAAACTTCTGCTCTCTAAAAATCGGGACATTTAGCGTCCCGGCTGTCATCCTGCCGGGACGTGGGACAAATATTGAAAAATCGGGTGGGTAAGAGCCTGAGTAAGAACCCTCCCCATTGCGAAACCCTTCATTTATTATCGCGCCTCAAAGGCGTCGTTTCTGTAACGGACACACCGCGTTAGAGGCGCACGTTGCGTTATGATGATAGCGTGGAATAGATCGCGGTAACAGGAGTAATAGGCCATCATTACGTTAGCGTGGCGAGGTGAGGGAACGGCAGAGAAAAAGCAACGGTGATCTCTCTCGCGCGTTTCATTACTCGCCAGCAAAAATTGAGATTGTGCCTTGCATTGTCGATTCGAATATAGATCGCGCGCGCTCGATCGGCTGCATTCATCGACGCGCGACAGCTCGTGCGGCGCGCGACGAAATAAACAATTCTTGAGGAGCAAAAGCAAAAGGAGCGAGAACGTAGCTTCAAACGTCCCATTTTCCAATTAAGAAGTCTTACGCGCTATCGTACTTTCAATCTATGTTACCTGGAAGCTTTATCTCTAATTAATATATTAAAAAATGTTTTTTATTACAACGATATAAGACCGGTTTGTTTTACGACCTATGAATGTTGTTTTATCGATCACGGTAATGAAAGTAGCGTCGAAATCTGTAATTTAGACCCCGCTTCTTTTTCGTCTTGCGGACGCCAGAAATGCTTCGGGGCCGAAATATAAAAAAATCACGTCCTGTGAGCGTTCAGATTGAAAACAAACGCGAAATAAAAAGAGTTCCTCAACCTCTCTGCTGCATCAACAGTTGCGAGCAATAACAGCCACCATTGTACGACTAATCGGCGAGCGCAGCATAGCACGTCGTGATCGCTGCCGCGGAAGAAGCAATTACGTATTAAAAAAAAGCTTAATTACGCTTCCTGGTGTACCTACGCACCGGAAGACATCGCAGTCGCGCCGGGGCGAGTCGGTCGCGTCACTCGAATTGATCGTCAAGTCGCAGAACGGTATTGATCGCGCTAATTCAACTCGATTGACCAAAACCGATCGAAAGTTATAAAACAAATTAAGCAAAACAATAAAATGACGGGCGAGTGCGCACGAGCAAATCGTTTATCTTTTCTTCTTGAACAGACTTTAAAGAAATTCTTCCATTCTCTGTTTCAGAACGATTAATGTTATTAGTCTTAAACTATAAATAACAATATAACGACGGAGAGACCACACAGAAAAATAATTTCCATTGTCAAATCAATAAATTTATTGATTATAAATATATTCTCGAATAAGGTTTATCGAAAAGATCCGGAGTCAGAAATATAATAATATATAATTTGGTGAGGGTTTTTTTAAGAACATGCAATATCCACTTCCGCACGATCATCAGGCGGGTTTCAGTTTTACTCGCGCCTCGTTTCCGACCCCATCGTGCAGCGATTACGTAATTCGCCATTAAAAATCAAACGGGTATCTCAGGCCGTACTTAGGGCGAGCAGCGGGCGAGGGAAAACGGGGATTCTCTCGCAGTTGTCGTTCAGAGAGGAAGTCTGGCAAAAAGTGCGTCCGCCGAAGAGAATTCCATTGAGAATTCTCCACGTGAGGTACCGCGAAGAAGCGTGGCCCGTCGGAGAACCGGTGGCGATGGCTGAATGGCCCGAAAATAAGATGAACGAGACCGATCGCCGGGCGGAGGTGATGGTGAGGTACGCGGGGAGGGGGGAGAGGATGAGGGGGAGAGATCGGCCAGGTGAACGCGTGTTTCAGGTAGGAGAGAAGGGCCAAGAAAGGCAGATGGTCGGGAGTCGGGACGTCGAAGCGGCTCGGCCGATGGCCGGTCGATACAGCGACAAGTTCGACATTCACAGCTTTCTGACAACTGCACGCTGCTCGCAGGAATGCTCCTCGCGGCCTTTTCTCTCAACGGCGCGTATCCTAGCTTTCGTCCGTTTTATTCCTTTTTATAATAATAGGAGCGGCTTCTTTTCTTTCTTATCCCGGCGGACAGACCACCGTGCACCGCCATAGACCGCCGCGCCGACTCGTTTCGTGCGTGACTGCGATCGTGAGGAGCCTGTCCGAACTTGTAGACGAATTAGGAATTAGGAAATAACCGGAATACGTACCGCCTGCCCTTCGTTATTATAATCCTTGAGCGAGCTAGCACGAAACAACAAGAAAAATAAATCACTCGTGACTATTTATTATTTTTTAATTATTTATTGTTGTTAAATTTACACGTGCCGAGGCTATCGCCGGATTATCGATCAATAAACAAAAGTATGTCATGGAAATCTGATTTTTTCTATTTATGATTTCTACATTCTACAGCATATTCCTATATTCTATTCTATATATTCCCATTTCGGTTCTATTCTGGATTATTATATATTTTGTTACACTTTCATTTTTTTAATTCAATTTTTTTTTGCCGATACAGTCATTTTATTTCCGTGTGAATATTGTAGTCACACTGAAGATTTCGCAGAGCTACGACTGTGTGACCGCGAACATAATTCGGTTGCACTCAAATTATCACGCTGGCGACTGCGCTGCCCTGTATATCACCACTATCAAATCATCAATTCAAATTCGAGCCAGTCCTTGACGACCCGACCGCGTCGCGACGCTTTTATCGTTCTTTCTTTCGTTTATCATCAGTTCCGTATCACTCGTACATTGAACTCAAATGTTATCGTGCTCTTGGCGCCATTCTAACATACACGGTCCTGCGTAAGGTTTTCTTTCACAAAGATATCGATTTCTAACCGGTCTACAAAATTTCTCAAAGATTGCTGTCATAAAAAAATAAAATATTTACTGTTCTCATGATAATTTGACAAAATGGGTATGTATATGGTTATAAACTATAAATAGGTGCAGTTAAATTTGTCTAATTAGAGTAATTGCGGTATAGCATTATTGATATCGTAACATTTTTAAAATAAAATTAATTAACCTTTGCTCATTTTCTAATAAGCAATTAGAGATATTTCAATTATCACAATTTTGATTTTATTTAATAAATGGACGATCATAATTGCTGAACGAAATTTTATCGTCACCATTTCAACTTAATTAATTAAAATTTTTTAATTGTTAGTTATTCCACTGTCATAATTAAATCAATATCCGCAGCAGGTCTCCAAGGTAAAGAGCCTCTAGTCGATAGACTAATGTAGGTAAGGGAAGTCGGCAAATTGGATCCGTAACTTCGGAATAAGGATTGGCTCTGAGGAGCGGGGCGTGTCGGGCTTGGTCGGGAAGCGGGTTTGGCTGACGTGCCGGGCCTGGGCGAGGTGAACCGATCGGCGTTCTCGCGCCGGTCCCGGGGATCCGAGCTCGGTCCCGTGCCTTGGCCTCCCGCGGATCTTCCTTGCTGCGAGGCTTCCGTGGCGGCGCGAGCCGTCGTGGTCGTCCTCTTCGGCCGCCATTCAACGCTCAGCTCAGAACTGGCACGGACTAGGGGAATCCGACTGTCTAATTAAAACAAAGCATTGCGATGGCCCTCGCGGGTGTTGACGCAATGTGATTTCTGCCCAGTGCTCTGAATGTCAACGTGAAGAAATTCAAGCAAGCGCGGGTAAA